TGAGACGTTTAAAGTCCCCATGAATTCAAAATTGACCATACTTACTTTGTTTGCCTAAATTGATCGTTTTGTGGTGAACAATTCATCCATCCAAGTCAATCCACACAAAAAAATTTTTTGGCTTCGTAATCTTTAATCAAATCTGAAATTTCCCCTCCCCTCTGCGTTGGAGGACCTTGCCTGATGACGTAGGTTTCACGGTTTGGGCGTCTTCTTAACATCCGTAATCACGCCCCTCCAACTGACAGTAGACAGGCTGAATGAAAACACCTACTTTTCTAGATCCAATCAGGTGCTGGTTGAGAAAAAAGCCACGCCCACCGTTTTGCCTCATTTAGTATTCCGTTTCTCTCGGAAATACGTCACAACACTGGAGAAAAGTCGTTTGCAACTTCAAGCTCAAAATATCCCACAGATAATTTTGTACAGAATGTTAGATTTGTCCCTTTTTGAGGGTCGGTAAAACCCTTTTCGTTGTGTGTCCCTTTAAATGCAAATTAGTTTCTGCTCAAGACACACAGCTCGTGTGTGTGTGTGTGTGTGTGTGTGTGTGTGTGTGTGTGTGTTAGCAGCTCCGATTACCTTACGCAGACAAGGACTAAAATGTCAGAAAAGGTTCTGCCTTTTGTTTAAACTGGAGTCGGACAATGATGGAGAGACTCAAAAAGAAGTGACAACATAACGCAACCAGAGTTTCCGCTAGAAAAATGGTGCCGGTCAAAGTGACCGTGTGACAAGTTTTCGTTTTACGGACATTTTGATGATATGCCGGTCAAATATCGCCCCTTAATTAGTCAAGTTGAGGAAAACTGGAGGCAGGCTATGTAACTTAAAAAATTCCTTCACAATCACATATCGCGTCTTTTGCGCACGCAAGTTCGTTATTTCAAATGTAGGCGCGCGGTATGCACGCTCAAAATGGAAGCGACCCGCTCGTTTTTTTCAAGCGCGTCCGCGCCGCATCGAGATAGAAACATCTCGGTGTGGATTGAGGTAGGGCTGCTATTTTTATTTAACGAAAAATCTTAGTCTAACGGGAAAAAATTGCCGGTTTTTGAAAGCTTCGTTCAAACGGATTCAGCGTTTTCTTTTTGTCATCTTAATTTGTTAATTATTTAAGTTAAAAAAATATATTTAGTGTTGGCCACTGTCAGAAATGCTGCAGGTGCGTGAAAATTTGATCTGAATCCAGGTTCTGTTGTTGATCTGTTCTGTATGCTGCTGTTTGCACTTTGCACGTTAAAATAAACCCTTTGATAAATAAATAAAAAATGTTTGTATTTTTAACGGGTCACAGATACGCGTCAATTTTATTTTTATTTAATGTTAATTCATTATTATAATCGTATCAGTTAACGGTTAATAATCGATTAACGAGCGGCGGTTGTCGGTCTGGAAAATTAACCGAAATGAGCATCCCTACTGGATAAATTTCCTTGAAATCACATATGTGGACCTCCCTTCGCAGGCTGTGGAGAAATGCAATCCTCCATAGCCAGCGAGGGCATCACGTCGCAGGCTTACGGCATCGATAAGAGGAGCAGTGTCCGCAGACTCAATGCTTGTAAAATGGCAAATAATCCTTCTGATCGGTCGGTGTATTTTTGCTTTATACATTTTAGGCCTATTCTCAAATTCCGATTGTGTTAGGGGGGCGGGATTATCAGGGCATTTTAATCTGACAATTTGACCGGAGAGATTTAATTTTGTCGGACATTTAATTAAATTAAATTACCGGACAACGGAAACCCTGAACGCAACAGGACGATTCTGAATGGTTAGTTGATGAATTTGTTGCTGATGTGGTGTTAACTACTGTATCTTCAAGTCATTGATTAGCATATCCTGTCATGATAATCTATAAATCGCTCGTGTGGAAACTGTTGTAAGATGCCTACAGAGTAACATGCCATTGCATTTGTGTTACGTAACGTATTGCAATAAATGTGAAAAGAAGGATGCGACAGCATGAGCAGACTCCCAAATGTGCTCTACTGCAATAACTCCTCTTCTCAACATGGACTGCGTATTACCAGGGGCGGGGTTTAAGTAAATTTTAGGGTTGGTGATGTCACTAACCCAGGAGGAATGTTATGTAGTCCCTAGTACCAGCCATTTGTTGTAGTCTTTAAAAAAATATTTCTTTAAAAGCAAATATTTTCCTTTGCTTTGAACTTTGTAACTTTGCAGATGTTGTTTATGCTCAAACAGCAACATTACACACTAACTAAACAGTTAGAAAAGTGAAATCATTATCAACCATCCCTTTAAATCAAATGTCCTAACACACATTCAAGCAATAAAATACATGAACTACACCCAGTTCAACTTTGGGAATGGGCCAAATTTCCACATCCTGAATGAGGCTTTAATGGATGATTAAACTGACCCAAATTCAAAAGCAGAAAAGTCCCTTTCTACTGAGAATAATAAACAGGCCTATATGCAAATGCAGTACCAAACCTTCACTAAGCCCACCCCCTGAGTTCCCAGGCCTGGTTTCCAGGGAGTCCATACAGACAAAGCCTTTTCATCCATTACTGACACAGGCTTGGTGGAGGATGCAGAACCTCAGCTATTTCACCTGATCATAGCTGCAAAGAGCTGGATAATCTGGTAGAAAACTAAAGTTCTTGAATTGCATAAAAGTTGACAATGACACAGTAAAGCTATATTCTAATTCCTCAATATTTGCAAGAACACCGTAAGCACTAAGGCAACTAGATGAGTCAGATTAAACCAAAATGCATTTGTAAGACTAAAGTGAGTAAGTCATGCCTGGGCGGTCAGTTTATTTAAAGGGTAGGTTCAAAAGTAACGAATAAGCATACGGAGTTAATGGTCTGGCAGTGACCAATGAGCTTCTACTTACACTGCGAACTAAGCCACTGTAATATTCAGATCTGACTGATGGAGTAATGAGTCCTAGCAAAAAGCAGTTCCTCGATTGTGGAACGCAACTCAAAATGTCTCTTTTGCGATCCTGCATAATTCATCATTTCACCGCAAAATATTAAAAAAAGCGGTACCACATAAAGTTAGACATGTAAAGGCCTGCTCACACCAAGAATGATAAATATAAAGATAGCTGTAACTAGGGCTGGGCGATTTTTCGATTAATTCGAATTTAATGTTTTGCCACAATATTATTATTTTTATATTCGAGAAATTACGGTTTTGAATAAAAATGTTAGAAAATGTTACACTTTAGACATGTTGACAATATGGCAATGATAACAGTTAAAGGGATATTAAAGACATCATTAAAATGGTCCAAGTGACTACAGTGGCTCAATCTTAAGTTTATCAAGTGACGAGAATAGTTTTTGAGCGCAAAAAACACACAAAAATAACGACTTTATTCAACTATTAATTTCCTTCTCTGTGGGCCTCGAGATAGTTCACGTAGCGTAACTGCGCAGCGCTTCTGCGTTGTACGTCACACGTAGGCTCATTATTGGCCGGCACTGGTCATGTGTGTGATGCGTGTGACTATTTTAACAATGTTTTTAATAACTTTTCTGGGCCGGCAAGTTTCAATCCATTAGAAGCCTATGGAGGAGTGAGACAGCGCTCAGATTTGATAAAAAATATCTTAATTTGTGTTCCGAAGATGAACGAAAGGGTTGGAACAACATGAGGGTGAGTAATTACTGCCAGAATATTTTTTTAAATTTTTGGGTGAGCTATCCTTTTAAGAGATGAAAACGATCCGACCATATGATGGCGCACCTGATTAAACGGTCTCGGTTTGTGTTTACATAATATATGTGTGTGTTCTGTACCACTGTGTATAATTATTTTAAGAAAGTATATATTTAAGAAAAATGTTTTATTTATATATAAAATATGTATATTTATATATAATATAAATTATACAGTATATATATGCAAGTATTTCTTAAATATATACATGCATATGTGTGTATTTATATAGGCCTATACAAATTTATTATACACAGTGGTACACACATATATTATGTAAATAAACTTTTATTTTGGATGTGATTAATCCCGATAACTAGTACCAGATTTATTATGTTTTAGCTATTCTGTTTTGCAGGGATCTTAAAATAAAAGATGTTTTCCCCCATGTGCTCCATTTTATGTCACAGCTCAGGTGACTGCCATCAGTCTGCAGTTGAGCAGACGTGCATTTCACTGGGTATCTGCGCCAGTGGTATAAATGCTATTGGGATTCATGGTAATGCAAATGGACAGCTTTCTCCTTGATGTACTTTGGTTTGGATATAAAGTTTGGTATCAGATAGTGGACAGGAGGGAGGACTGGTCATACAGTTATGCAACATACCCTATTGAGCTCATGCTAAAGATATCTAACGTTACTGCTTTGGTCAAAATTATTCAAACATAACCAAACAAATGATTGACTTCCTAGTGGAACAGTGCAGATGGTCACTAACGTTCTATATATTTAGTGAAACCCATCCAAACAGATAAGAAAACTGAGCAATGCCACCTTTAGATTATCCATGCATACGGCCAATTAACAAATCACCCGAAATAAGAAACCAGTTATTAGGCTATATGTTGTTTGTCATAAGAGTGGTGGTGGTGGATCAATATACGCGACTTTATGACAAATTAATAAATTATGAGCGCGTGGAGCATTGTCAAAAATGGCGACCAGTGATGGGCACGAGGAAATAAAATAACTCTAAATCCTCAAACGTTTACGATGCGCTAGGCAAACCATTCACACAACGTTTGGAGCAACATATTTTCGGGAGGAAAGGTAATTATAAGCCTGTATAAATATTTTGGGAGTCCAAATGCTTTTGGCCTGCTGATGTGATTATGGTTCAACGCATTATAAAACTAGTATAAAAGCTTTGACAGATGACGCAGTTCCTTTATAAAGCATTAGGGGTTTAATTTAGCAGTTCTGCTGTTTTAAAACGAGCTGTCATTTGTTAATAGCAATGCCCTTTCACGTGCTTCCCTGTTTGACAGATGATGCAGCAAATCGCTCGACTTACCTGCATGGAATCAGCGCTTATAATTTCCCCATTCAGCCTTTTCCCGATCTCGATAGCCAGTTTGGATTTGCCGGTTCCAGTGGCTCCTAAAATCACCACTAAAGACGGAGCGATGCCTTTCTTGAGTACACGCGTGGCGGCCGCCATGACAGAAGCCTCTCATGAGAGCTGAGGAATGATCTGAGCATGTGCGTTGACTTCGCCTCGGAGGAGGGAACTGTATCCAAGCAACTAAAACTGTTTCCATAGGAACGAGATTGAAGGATTCAATTATAGCAGGTACGGGGAAGGCAATGGTGTTTCATTCAGAGATAGGACAAAAGTTCTTATAGTCAAACAAAAAGTACTTGGAAAACAGGAATCTAGATATATGGACAATAAAATGGCACTGTTCCAAACACGGATGAATCAAGTTGAGAAAAGGTACAGATTTTCATCATTCAGACTACCCAGTATCCTGCTAGCTAATAACATAGTAGTTACTAGTAATATAGTGAACCTATCATCAGTATCCTTTGCCTTCATTGCAGTAATGACAGCTTTGAGTTTTTACTCACATTATCTGATGGGTTCGCGTAGTTTTTACCGTTTAATTTGCAGCTTTGACACCATTGTTGACTTTAACAGGTCGACTCGTGCGCCTTCCGGAAGAACACGGGTATGAATAGCTCTCTTCCGTCTCCATGGCAACTGAGCGTTCTGGGCCAAGGAAAAGAGATGATGATCGTTGCCATTACGACGTGTCAACTAAAAGCGGCTCTTGCTAATGAAACGATCGAATCGACTTCACACACACTCGTACAGGTGTTGATGGAGTAACATAGCTCTTGTGCCACATATAGTAAAATCTTGCCCTATTTTCTGGCATTGCTGAGCTAATATGATATGATGATATGATATAATACTTTATTATCAGACAAGTCGTGTACAATATATAATATTGTATAAACATACGTTATGGCACATTTTAATAACCAATCAATGCTCCTCTAGTGTCTCGATATTAAGGGATAGTTCACCCAAAAATAAAAAAATTCTGCCATCATTTACTCACCCTCAGGATGTTCCAAGCCTGTATAAATTTCTTTGTTCTGTTGAACACTAAAGAAGATATATAAGAAGAATGCTGGAAACTGAACAATTCTGGGGCACCATGGACATTTTTTTCCTACTATGGAAGTCAATGGTGCCCCAAAGCGGTCTGGTTACAGACTTAATTCAAAATATCTTCCTCAGTGTTCAGCAGAACAAAGAAAATTATTCAGATTTGGAAGAACTTGAGGTTGAGTAAATGATGACAGAATTTTCATTTTGGGGTGAACTATCCCTTTAAGAGCTGTCAGAAGATCAATATGTCTTGACATCAACTTAATGTGATAATTCAAACAGACGTCATCGTTTACTCACGCTGATACTGTTCCAAGCCTGTATGACTTTAGTCACAGTCACTATTCACTTTTATTGCATCTTTTTCATACAATTAAAGGAATAGTCCACCCAAAAATTAAAAACTATCCCATAATTAATTCACCCTCGAGCCATCCTAGGTGGATTCGACTTTCTTCTTTCAGTCGAACACAGTCGGAGTTATTTTAAATAACATCCTGGCTCTTCCAAGCTTTATAATGGGAGTGAATAGAGCCTGAGATTTTGAAGCTGCAGGCTCTATTCACTCCAATTATAAAGCCTGAGATTTTGAAGCTCCAAAAAGTGCATCCATCCATCATAAAAGTAATCCATACGGTTCCAGTTGGTTAATAAATGCCTTCTGAAGCGAAGCAATGGGTTTTTGTAAGAAAAAATCTGTATTTAAAACTTCATAAACTATAATCACTAGCTTCCGGAAACAGCCGTACGCCCATTCATGAGTGAGTCGAGTTCCGGCAGAAAGGTGACCTCTGACCCGACATGATGTCAAATATGTTTTCCTCTTTCCTCTGCGCTTCCGCATTCGTAAATTCTCACCTCAGCTTACGCTACGCCTATGTCATACGTCCTACGCCAAACGTCGGGTCAGAGGTCACCCTTATGGCGGATCTCCTGTGGGAGAAATATAGATTTTTTTTTTACCACAAACCCATTGCTTTGCTTCAGAAGGCATTTATTAACCCACTGGAGTCATATGGATTACTTTTATGATGGGTGGATGCGCTTTTTGGAGCTTCAAAAACTCACTATTCAATTCCATTATAAAGCTTGGAAGAGCCAGGATATTATTTAATATAACTCTGATTGAGTTCTACTGAAAGAAGAGAGTCATATACACCTGGGATGGCTTGTGGGTGAGTAAATTATAGGATGGTTTTTGGGTGAACTAACCCTTTTAGATGAATGGTCATTGGCATCTCAAGTTCTGTTCAAGTCATACACATTTGGAACAACATCTGCGGCCGGGTGCATAAACTTCTTAGACTAATCTTACGAGTTAGTCATCTCATTTTTTTCTTCAAGACTTTTCATAACTTTTTTGTTACATAAAAGGGTAGAATGGTCTAATTTGAATCAGAAAAGTAAGACTAATTAGCCCTAATTAATTGCTAGTTGGTCAGACTAGTTCTTAAAACACAACCTTTACTTAGCTGCTATGTTTATGCAACTGGCCCCAGGATGAGTAAATGATGATGGAATCTTCATTTATAGAATAACTTTCACACATTTTATTTATTTTTTGGCTTCTGGGTCATTGGTGTATGCAACCAAATCTAAAAAGCAGTTAATTTGAGTTAAATTCAACAAAGAAAGACAAACATGCTGACGTGATTTGAACTGAATTTATTTATTGTTTACCCAATTTTGAGTTTATGTATATAGGCTTATGAGGTACAGAACACAAAGTGCTTAAACAATGCTGCTGCCATTCTTTTCCCAGTATGACACCTGATGACAAGGGACAAAAGTAAAAAAAAAAAAAAAAAATTACTGGTGGCATATGCACCCTGGTGTCAAGTACTGTCAATTTCTGATGGTAATTTACCCTTTTTGCCATACAATTTCAAAGCTGAACGAACAAACATAAGTCACGATGATTGCTGTGAACACATGACCATTTTATTTATTTTTTTTTAGAAATAATTGCATTTTTCGGCATGACGAATAGCAGTGTGCATAAAGTTCTGATGGTCATAGTGGGAGATAAGCAAGCATATGCCACCAGTACAACTTTATATTTAAATAGAAATCAAATAATGATACAATCAATTCTGTAAGAAAATATAATTAGTACAAAATTCTTTCAGCATTCTCTTTCTGCCACAAGAGCGATATTAAGCCAAAGAAATTTCAGAACGCAAGGGAATAGGCAGTGAAAACAGCATAAAGTGGCTAGTGATGAAAATGAAATGTTGATAGTGTTGTTTTATTTAAATTTTTGAATTATTTTTTAACTTTTCTTAACAAAAATAGAAACTTTGAGATACTCTAGGGAAGGCAGGTGGGCCAACCAAGGTTTAGGACAAATGACAGAAAAATAGAAAATAAAGTCTATTAACAGTGCTGATTTTCATATTCAAAACACAAAGTATGTATTTTTACACAATGTCCTGTACATCACTACTATTATATACATATGTCCAAAGAATTTGCCACAGTTTATATACACTGCAAGGCTGTGCTGGACACGGTCCTGAATGTTCAAGAGAAGAATAATATACAATAACAGAGGAACAAACAAAAAAAACATGGAACACAAGATAACAAAAGTAACAGTGATGCAACTTCCTGTCTGTTAAACTTACACTGTCATCATGTGGCAATGGTGGCACACAGCTCTCCTAAAATTTAGGTTAATTTAGGTAACAAAATCCCTATTAACGGAGAAGTTACATGGATCAAAGACACTTAAATATCTTTAACCAGATGAATTCTAGATTCTGCCACAAAAAAAAAAAAACCTTGACGGTTTAGGAGATCAATTACACGTGCATATATATTGCTACATTTCAAATAACGCCTAACTTGGCATGCTAATTCAATTAAATAATACTTCCCCGCCAAAATACTTTAGCTTTTGCGAGAGAATTTAAGAGAACACACATTCAGGGTCTAAATCGTTACATTTCTAATGAAAATGTCAGAAATAATGACCCTCTTTGGAAAATTGTTTGAAACTTATTAGGGTCAAGTAGGGTCCACTTGAGGACACCAGTACCGCAGCTTCCACAAGTACGTCCCCCTCCCCCAGTTGCGAAGGCAAATGTGCAAAGAACGAAAACTGAAGAACTAATCTCAAAATATAGTGTCCATTCCATTAAATATCCCCACGTGGAACTTGGAAAAAAAACACACAGCTCTACACAGTTCCTATTGAATCATGTCCGGACTATGAAGGTTTATGCACGTTTCAGTTCAGCAAGTCTCCGTAGTAACTGCTGTTGCCTGCTTTTCAGCTGCTTCTTCTCCTGGGCCTTCTGTTTGTCGCCGACATGAAGCGTTCGCAGGTATTCCGTGGCCTTGGTCAAGATCACAACTTTGGGTGTCTTTGGACAGTCAGCCAGGCCTGGGATTTCATCCCGTAGGGCCAGAAAGCGCGAGCGTAGGTCATTGCGTCTCTTCCGCTCCAAGTAGTTGTGTGTCTTACGTTTGTCCGTGTCCTCACAGTCTGAACTCTGAGGGCTGGATGGTTGGGATTTGAAGTGGTAGGATGAGTGTGTTGGAGAAGCGGACACAGTCTGAGATTGGGCGGGGACTGAGAGGGAAGGTAGGGGGGCTTTTCTTTCAGGGGTTTGGGGTGTGGAACTCATTCGTGGCTGCAAGGTCTCTTGCCTGATCTTCTTGCGAGGCGGCTCCTCTTCAGGATAACTGTCGGGCGAGCGGGCAGCATAGTTGTGCTGTTGCTGGTGAATGGAGATGTGGAAACGCTTCATGCAAGGGTCATAAGGGTCTGCATGAACCGTAATGGTCACCGGTTTGCGGGCGTTCACCAAGCGCGACTTGTTCTGCTTATGTTCCACCGTTACTACATCAATCTCTTCATCATCTGAAAGAACAACAGAAAAAAACTTTAGTTTACATGCCTGGTTTTGCATCCATTGTAGACAGATCATGTGCAATGCTGCATCCTCCTTTGCAGCCTTTGTCCAAATTTACCTTTCCATCCACCAATTCTAGCACTTTAAAACCCATTCAGAATGTAAGATCTATGGGCCATAAAACTACAAAATGAGTACTGTTTCTATTAGTTCCCTATTTT